TTCTAAAATCATGGCCAAGCTACGTGAATTAGTAGGTGATATCAAAAAATTTACAGACTCACCTCAAACCAAAATATTCACCAACACATCCACAGATATTTCTGTATTCGATGTCCCAGAAATTGTAAACTTTGAACCAGAAAAAATAGAACCTATTCTATTAACTACAAATCGCATTAAAAAAGGTAAGGATTCATTACCCGTCTCACCCATTACTAATATAATTCTAGCTCTCTTTGATTCTATAATAGATCAAGATGAATCTTCAATTGCTTTGTCATCCAAGTCTACTGATATATCTCTGTCTCCCAAGATCGTGAACGTAGAGTCCTTGGACGATAAATCTAAATCTCCAGAAATTATCGAGAAATCAAAGATTCGAGATCGTACCTCATCGGTAAATGATGAGCCAGAGATATCTCCCAACTTACCTGCAAACAATGAACCAAAGTCCAGCAATGAAGAAGTCAACACCCAATCAGAATCATATCTATCTGGTTATTTAACCTGAGAGCAACGAGAAGCTCGATTAAGGAAATGGGCAGTCGACCACAGCGAGGATTCAGATAAGTTTATGATCATTACTAAAAAAGACAGAGACTTGGTACTAATATACCGTGATAGATTGTGCTCAGATGCAAACATGATTCAGTTCGCAAAAGATACTGATGATAATTCAGATACATTAATGGATATGTCTAGAAGAGAAAGGTTAATAAGCGAAGAAATTATGCTCCGAATATATGAGGATGATTGTGATTTTCGAACAAGGAGCTATGATGATGAGGAATGGGTAGAAAAAATAACAATACTCCAGGAAAATAGATATCTATGTAAGATTATTGCTTTGCAAGCCTGTAGGGGCGTCTCTTTGAGACATGGGATAAGCTCTGCCCCTACTATATACTAAATGCAAAGCATCCCCACTTTGTGAGAGAAGTGAATAGGTGAATTTCGCAGGTAAGGAAAGGATTTTGCTCCTACCTATAGGCGATATAAAAATTTCAAATTAAAATATAATGAGAATTCTGTTCTTTATACCAATATACTGGTTTTTGCAACATCTAAAAATGATATTTGGTAAAATTTTAAGTAATATATTATCTCAACTTTAATTTTAAATATGAAAGTGTATATAGAATAATAGTACAGCTGAAATGCCTTGTAATTGGTTATTAGTTGGCAAAACCTATTTATATAAAATTTCATCGAGAGGACAATATTGCGCTTCCTATGCATTCAAAATTTGAAATGATGTAATAATCTCAGAACCGTGTAAAGGATGTGGTTGAGGGACTAAATCGAGCGTCCAGCTTTGTACCCCATGCGGACAAGGTAAAGAAAGAGCATACAGATATTATAAACACAAATGCGAAGAAAAAACCCGCCTTCTCGGTCTATAATCTCGAAGCCAGAAAATAATTGTCTATCTATTTTTGTGGATATATAGTTACTGTACAACCGTCTTTAACAAACTGACCATGAACATAGTGAATTGTCAGGGATAAGTAATATCATTTATTTTTCATATATAATCTGAGTCCTTTAAAAATAATCAATTAAACTTATCATTTTCATAAATAACAATCAACTATTATCATTTTCATAAGTAGTAGCACATATATCATATATATCCAAGAGCCAGAATATAATAAAGAATTCAATGAACCTGAAGAAGTGCTTAATCTCTCCACTAATCATTGGATTGAAAGAAAAGGAAAATTATATAATAGATTGTTATGTGAAGGATATAAATATGCCAGAGATCTTACGCATTATTTAGAAGATATTCCACCAATCGATTTAGATGAATACGGTACAATCTACCCCCTAGCTGACTTTTATTATCCTGCTCTGATACCACCCCTTTCTATTTTAGCCCAAAGAGGAGACATATGTAGAAGATGTCCGATTACTATATCATCTATTGTCGAAGGAGAAATGAGTCTTTTCACTATAGAAAGAAATAGAAAAACGTCTTTAGATAACTTGATCAAGATGAATTACTCCAGCTTATCTGCATTATTAAAAATGTGTTGGGATAGTAATAAAGCACGCGAATGGAGAAGTGTTATACTTATGAAATTCCTCCATCATCTGAATTTGATTTCCTCAAAATATAGTCCAAACACCTTATATGATGCATTCACCAAGATAAACGTTCTAGAGCCAGAACATATATTAATTCTAGCTCGAGCATTATACTAAAAAATAAAACATAATGCCCAATTATTAGCCTGAATCGCCGCAACTCGAAGCTATAAATTTTTTTTCGTTATATCCTATATGTTAGTAAATTTCAAATCGATATCCTACTTACCCTATAAATATATATAAACTCTTTTTTTCTAGATATAGGAGAAAAAAGCATAATTAATTTCGATTTGAAAAAATATTTTTTATAGTGTATATAACTTAAAGAATTGTTTATAAATTACTCGACCTACTATAACATTAGATCATGTCAACCATCGTGACTAAAATTGTTGAAAAATACAATCTCAACTCCAAGCTAAATAATCTGATCTCAGCAAATATATCTTAGAATTTCTTGAGAACCTTACTAATGATAGAAAGCAGAATCAGGCTCGACAACGTCTTCAGGATGGTTTTAAATTTAGCAATAAACAGGTGGGTGTATTGATATCTAATCAGAGAAATAGAAAAAATAAAACTATAAATTTGGTTGAAGGAAATTGTAAAATAGCTATAACCAAGCCCCAAAAAGTTTGAAAGAAGAGATCATCAGAGAGAAAGCAAAACGAATCTTGCAAAATAGATATGAGTTTAGTGAAGATCAAGTAAATGCCTTA